GTGTCTCCATCCATGGGACGAGGATCTTAATAGGATCTTCCTCCAAGGGCAGTTTGAAGACCGAGAAGGAAGCCTGGAGAGCAGTTAGTAGGGGCCAGCGGGAAGAGAGGCCCCGAAGCTGAAGCTACAGTCCAGGCCCTTCCCCGCGACCCTAGGGGGAGAAGGGGCCCCAGCAGGCCAGGGAGAAAGGAGGGCTGGGCCTGGGCTGGGAAGGCCCCCAGGAGTGGGGATGGGGCCGGATGCAGAGGGAGAGGAAGGTGGGAGAATGTGTCTCGAGTCCTGGGGTCTGGGAAATGGGGCTGTGGTCAGCAAATGAGCCCCCCCAGCGTGTCCACATCCTAATCCCCAGAACCTGTGAGCAGGGTCCCTTACCTGGCCACAGGGATTCCACGGATGTGGTGGAGTTAGGGACCTTGAGATGGGAGATGATCCTGGAGCGTCTGGTGGGCCTTCCAGATGGTGTGGTCTTTCTAAGGGAAAGACGAGGTGGGAGGGTCAGAGTGAGAGAGGGATGTGGCCATGGCAGCGGAGGTCGGAGAGAGAGGGAGAGAGGTAAGATGCTATGGTGGGGCTTTGAAGTTGGAGGGAGCGCCCTCGAGCCAAGGAATGGAATGCGGGCGCCTCTAGAAGCCGGAAGGGGCCAGGGAGCGGGTTCTCTCCAGAGCCTCCAGGAGGGCGGCCTGCCGGCTGCTTGATTCTAGCCTGTGGTGCTCGTTTCGGACTTCTGACCTCAGGCCCATGAGAGAGTAAATGCGTGAGGTTTTAACCACTGAGTCTGGTGATTTGTGACAGCAGCCACAGAAGACTAAGGCAGAAGCCAAGGGAGAGCCTCACCCAGGACGCTCACGGGGCCCCTCCAGGCCCACCGCCCCCTGGGACACGCGCCTGACCTGCTGCCACTGCCCCATCCCCCAAAGTGCGGTGGAGGAGCTGGAGCCCAGAACCAAGCATGACGGGCTGGCACCTCACCGCACCCCTCGTCATCAGAGGGTGGCTGGCACCCCCAGATCCGGGAGCCTCACAGCATCACAGAGTCCCTAAATGGGACCTGGTCTACCGCTGACATCCATGGTCGAATGGAGATGGTTCCCAATAAACAGTGTCCCCTGGGAAGGTGGCAGGTGCCTTTCTGTGCCACATACCTGCGAGGATACCCCCCTCTATGGCAGAGCTGGGGTGTGAGTGGGGGAAGAGCTCAGGGGTCCTGGGGCACCCAAGGGAGCGTCAGACAGGGGTGGGAGCAGCCTTGGGGGTGCAGTGTGTGCAGTATGGTGGGTTTTTTTTTACCAAGTGTCCACCCTGGATCCAGGGGCAGGAGCTTGCCCAGCTGGACCCCTCCAGGACAAATCAGGGGGCTGTGACAATGTAAACCCCTCCTCCCCAGTAATGGTGACCTGGTGGTACTGGAGGCAGGAACGTGGGGGGCTCCCCACGTGGGGACAGCTGTACCAGCTCGTGGTCATCGCCACATCCTGAGGCTGCCAGGTGATCACCTGTGTGTGTGTCAGAGCCCAGTTCCCATCAATGCTGAGGCCTTGGGAAAACATGTCCCCACTTTTAACTGTGGTACAAGATGCCTGGCCTCAGCGTTGAGACACACCAATTTCCCTTCAGCAAAGGCTTTGTTTAATCTCAGTGGAATTATGAGGCGCCTATTTCCCTCCTTGTGTGGGTTCCTGGGGAGCTCAGAGCTTATCTCCATCAAGGGTCCGAGGCTCCTGGCAGGCCTTTCGTGTGACAATTTCCTTCCTGGATTCCTCCTAGTCCTCTTACATCCCTGAGCCTGCCATCGGGTGAGGAATTGAGATGGTCTCAGATTTAAGAGCCAAGGAAGCCAATGCTGCTGGAGTGTCCTGGACCCCATGGGTGGTCCAGCCCTCGGGAGTGAGAGGGATGGGCTGAGGGTGGGCAGGAGCTGAGCTGGGCAAGGAGAGAGGAGGGAATTCCAGGGGGTGAGGGCCAGTTGCAGAGGGGGTCCAGGCCAGAGCAGGGTTTCCAGGCTGAGGAAAGAGAAGACACGGGGGATGTAGAGAGTCCCGACCAGGGCAGGAAGGGAAGCTTATCTGGAGGCTCTGGTCATGGACAGCTATGGACAGCTCCAACCAGGCAGGTGGCAGGGAGTGGGCACGACCCTGTGCTGGAGGAGGAATGGGAAGCAGGAGAGGACAGGAGGACTGGTGTTCAGTGACTGGACTTCCATGTCCTGGCTGGTTTCCTGGGAGATGTTCCCAGGGAGACTGTGAGCCTCTCCCTTTGGGTTACTTTCCCACTGGGTGCCAAGGGTTCCCCCACCCACCCTGAGAATCCTGGAGAGGTTGCAATTAAATATGAGACAGGAAAAGCAACGAGCAGAGAGCATAATTTCTGATTGACAAACAGACATTTATTTTTACTATTTTTTTGTTTTGTTTTGTTTTTCTTTGCTGAGAAAGATTCGCCCTGAGCTAACATCAGCTGCCAATCTTCCTCTTTTTGTATGTGAGCTGCCACCACAGCATTGCCACTGGCAGATGAATGGTGTACGTCCGTGCCCTGAAACTGAACCTGGGCCACGGAAGCGGAGCACACCAAACTTAACCACTAGGCTACGGGGTGGCCCAAAAGGACATTTACTGAGAGTTTATTGAGTGCAGGGAGAAGGGCTGGGGATGACTAGAGTGGGGCGTGGGGAGAGCCCTATCGGGCCCACTTGGGGGCATCTCAATGCCCTAATCATGGGAGTTCTGGGTGCTCTCTTTGGCATCTGTCTCTTCAGGCTCGCATGTCCTCATAATTGCTCATCCCAGCCTCTGTGCCCCTGGTGCTGGCTGGCATCAGCCTTGAGGTCTCATCTTTCCTCAGGGAATCTGTCTGTCCTGGGGCATCTGTCTGCCTGAAGGTATCCCTCCAGATCTCTCTCCCCCATGTCTTCATACAGGACATCTGTCTGTATTGGTTTCGGGCTTCTTCCCTTTCAGGAGGGGTTTCTTGCCTCTCATTCCCAGACTGTGTGGACCTGGGATTCCAAGGAAGGAGCTCAGACATTATCCTGAAGGCCATGAGTGGGCACAGCTGGAGGAGGACATGAGCCACACAAGCATAGGGAAAGTGTGGAGGGTGGCTATCCTGGGCTCTGCTGCCCCAATCTCCTGTTCTGGAATATAATCTCTGGGCATTATGGGGGAGAGTGAAACTATCCCTCCAGGAAAAATGAAGACTACTTCTGACACAGAGTCCAGAGAAGGAGCTCCCTGAGGAGGGCTCAGGGTCATGCTGGGGAGGAGCAGGAAGAGGTCACTGGGATTGTCCCAGCCTGTTCCCACCAGGTGTCTGAGAAAAGTGACAGCCTAAGAGGGTGAGGCTTACAGGCATAGGGAGTCAGATCTCAGCCACATTCAGGACAGAGAGGACAGAAAATCCACCCCAATTTCACCCTGGACCCTGAGGAGGGAAAGATGGAGACTCACCAGTGACAGTCAGGCGGGTTCATCTGCTGAACGCAGCACACAGTGACACAGCCTGGAACACAAACCTCCTGTCACCCACTTCCCCAGGCCCCCCTGCAGCTGCACGGGTGGCCCAGAGCCCAGCCTCCTTGTCATGGGGGCTGGTCGGCTGATGGGAGGGTGAGAGGGGTGGCCCCCTCCCCAGCTACAACTGTACTCCCTGGGGGGGGTTCCATCCGTGCCCTGTCATGGCGGGGCCAGGAGGGCACGTGCGAGTGTCTCATCATATCCCAGGACACTTCCACTCCTGCGAGGAGCTGTGTGTCCCTGGCTCAGCTTGTTTGGGGAATGTCACGGTGGAAGAAGTGAGAAGGCCTCTTTACAACACAGAGATGGTGGGGCCTGCGCCCTCTGCAGAGTAGAGCTCATGGGAGGGTTCTGGAAGCCACCAAGTCCTATGGTGTGCCCATCGTGGCCATGTTTGCAATAGCTCCTGTGTGTGTGTGTGTGTGTGTGCGCGCGCGTGTGTGCGTGCGTGTGTGTGCGTGTGTGCAGTATACCTGTCAGTCTAACGGCACTGAAAATCCATTGAATGCTAGCTCCTAGGACTGTAGTATATCTGGGCTCAGATCCCATTTGAAGCTCTTACAATGATGAGTCAGTTCACAGACATGTCACTGGCACGATCCTAGAATCAGGTTCTTGACTTTCAACACATGAGGGCCATAAAACACCCATGGACGAAAAACTTTAGTACTTGTGGTAGGGATAATGGTGGGCTGGCCTCTAAGGGACTGGAGACAACACAGCTGGCTTGTGGCCCAGGGTGCTGAAATACAGCTGGGACCGGGTGACACATATGGGAGGGGGAGAACCCAGGGAGAATGGGGGGTGAGTGAGAGTGACAACAGCCCAGGGAGTGAGGGTCCTGTGGAGAGTGTGAGAGGGAGGGAGAGGGCCTCTGGGATAGGGAAAAGGGGCAGGAGGAGGGCGGTCTCCTGAGGAAGAGGGGATGCTCTAGGCTGTGAGGACGGAGAATTTCCAGGGAGGGTACTGTACCATAGGACACATGGAGTTGGTGGGGGCCATCCGTTAATGGAGAGAGGGACTCTCGAAGAGGACCACCATCCAGGTTGTGATCTGGTTGAAGATTCCAGGGAAGGAAGCTCAGACATTGTTCTGGAGGCCACGGGAATGAAAGAGAATGTGACCCGGGCAATCCGAGACAGACATGGTCCCCACAAGAGGAGGAAGCGCAGTGTGTTGTGAGGAGGCTAGGCAGGCTTCGTTTCCTACAGTGGGCCAATATGCCTGTTCTAGAATGTTCTCTGGGCTTTGTTGGTGACAGTGAAACCATCCCTCAGGAGCGCATCAAGACTCTACAAAAGTAGCCTGCTTTTCCATACAGCCAAAAGGTTGTCGTTCACCTTTGAGGATGAGTGAACTGAGCTGAAACAATATATAAACAAAAACGAGCAGAGAGCATGATTTCTGATTGGCAATGAGGATATTTTATTGAGAATTCTTTGAGTGCAGGGAGAAGGAGGACTAGAGGTTGGAAGGGGAGACCTCCGGGGGGTCCTTTGACTCCAGGCCCCCGAGGGTGGGGGAGGGTCAGGGACCTAAGAACACTCTGAGGGGGCCACTTTCTTCTCCACGGTGCTCCCTTCGTGCGTGACCAGGCAGCTGAAGCTGCTGTGAGATTTCCACTTGTCAGGTGTCAGCGTCAGGTAGCTGCTGAGCGCGTACTTGTTGTTGCTCTGTTTCGAGGGCTTGGTGGTCTCCACGCCCTGGGTGATGGTGGTGCCGTCTGCCTTCCAGGCCACCGTCACGCCGCTGGGGTAGAAGTCACTGACGAGACACACCAGTGTGGCCTTGTTGGCGCTGAGCTCCTCCTTGGAGGGCGGGAACAGACTGACCGAGGGCGCAGACTTGGGCCCACCTGCGGGGTGGGAGACGGTAAGGAGGTCAGAAGTCTGGTGTCCATCATAGGAGCTCCTGACCCCAGTCTTGATGTGGGGTACACGTCACCGCAGTGCAGCACACGGGACCCAGGCTCCCTCGTTCCCGTGAGGTCAGGTCAGCGATGAGGGGGGGTCACTCACCTCCTGTTGGGAGACTCTCAGGCCCTGAGTCCTGGCAGTTCTGTTCCCCTCTTTGGCCACCATCTCTTCCTCAGGGTCACATGTGTCATAAAGCCACCCTCCCAGCCTCTGCTCCCCTGGGGCTGGCTGCATCAGCCTCGAGGTCTCATCTTTCCTCTGGGAATCTGTCTGTCCTGAGACATCTGTCTGTCTAAGATCACCTCCATGTCCCTCTCCCTGTACATCCTACAGAACGTCTGTCCTGGACTCAGGCTCTCCTCCCTTTCGTGGAGGGGCTTCTTGCCCACGGTCCCCCTGACAGCATCGTGGGAGCCCCCACCCTCTCCCCACAGAGAACCCTCTAGGGCTGAGGGATGGGGAGGGGGTCACCCCCACGGGGCTGGATTCCAGGGAGTCCAGGAGATGCAGGGTTTCCGTGGGAGGCGAGTGCTCTGCCTGAGCCTGGGGCTGTCTGTTCTGAGGGTTCTCCCTGAACTGTGCGGCTCTAACGGAAAATCTGTCTAGCCTACGACATATGTCTGCCTGGCACATGTCCCGACCAGGAGTCCCCAGGCCGGGCATCAGCTCCGAGGTCTCTCCTCCAGTGGTGATGCAAGGAGGGGCGACCTTCGGACCTGAGTGTCCCGACACCTATCCTGTCCGGGGCGTCCTGCCTGTCCGGGAGGAGGAGGAGTGACCCGGCTCCCTGGGGCCACCTGTCATGGGAAATCCTCCCTCCATCCTGTGTCCCCTGTCCTGCTTGCTCCTCCTTCTCTCCAAGTCCTCCAAGAAAGCACTCCCCTCGCTCACCCTTCACTGCACCTGTCATGGGAAATCCTCCCTCCATCCTGTGTCCCCTGTCCTGCTTGCTCCTCCTTCTCTCCAAGTCCTCCAAGAAAGCACTCCCCTCGCTCACCCTTCACTGCCCTCCGATAGAACCCAGACACGACAGAACCCCGGGCGAATGAGCCTTTGCCAGCATCCTTCCCACATCCCGTGGACCTGCTGCCCCAGCTGGAGCCCCCTGTTCCCAGTGCCCCGAGAATAGAGACCCTGAGGGAGCAGAGGAGGGAGAGTCCAGGGGAGAACACGCCCTGGGGAGAGAGGTCAGGGTCATAGGGAGGAGGAGAGGAGAGGAAGGGGTCACTGGGATGGAGCCATCCTGTCGGAAACAGCGCTGGAGAAGAGGGAAAAGGCTGCACCGGGTGAGGGGCCAGACAAAAAGGGTTAGGCTGCAGACTTCCAGACGGATTCCGACCCCAGCCCCAGGCAGGACAGAAAGGACAGAAAAGTCTACCCCAATTTCACTCCAGACCCCGAAGAGGAGGGGAAGAGGGAGACTCACCTGTGACGGTCAGGTG